CATGCTTGATAAGCTAGTACATTTTCCAAACCTAGGCCACTATGATTTAAACAAACCATAACAGAGCAAATTAAAGTAACGTTCAAGATTCCTGTATTTCAACACCAACAGTAACCCAATAAAGTAACATTATTATTTATTTTCGGAAGTCACTAAAAAAAAAAAAAACTGCAGTGAAACTTTTTTTTTTTTTTTTGAAAGAGACGCTCATTCAGACAATTGGAGTAAAGCACATTTGGAAAGGTACACAGTCTACGTCCTATTATTGCACTTATCTTTTTACAACAAGGCATTTAAAAATAACCTGAACACAAAGGACATATTTATAAAAACGACAGTGTTAATATACAACATCGTACTGGAAGTAATGTGTGTCAGTTAAAAAACAAAAGCACACACAGAATTGTGGCCTGTTTCATACAAAAGGGTAAGAGGCAGTGGTGTTGGCAGAAGTAAAAAAAGTCAAGATGGCGGCTGTAGCCCCACAAAGCGCCGCCCCCCCTTTTTTTTACATGCGTTTTGATTGCCTGGTTGCGGAGGCCATTTTGACTCTTTTGACACACACCGCCACACTCCCTGGGAAGTGGGGATAGCAACCCAAGTCTGACTGTCAGGTCTTACACTGGGAGTCCCATAAAGGTTCCAAAGGTAGAAATTAACCTGCCAAGCATCTAGTTTGCTCTCTATAATCCATGTTTACTATCTCCTCAATTGTGGCTTGGCCTTGAGTCCTCCCAACTTTCCATTATGCTTCTGTACAACTTGCTTGCTCAATTAATTCCTACAGGGTGCCACTTTCTATGACATGATGAATATATATTCCACCCACCCAACTTCTGCGATATGCTAATTTCAGATCCCACTAATCCCAAATTATTATTATCAAGATGACAGCTCATCAGTAACAGGGACAGATAATTGATGTCTACAGCAAGGTAAAAAAAAAACACCCAGCATTAAAAATAAAATTAATCATAACTTTTAAGCAATATTCATTTTTCCACATAATTAACTTTTGTGTCTGGCAAACAGATGGACTTGCACAGTCTGAATACATTCTGAATACCCTTGTCATGATTCCAAATTAATATTTATATAAAATTACAATATATGAAGTTCACTTTTGATGTATACATCAAGTGACTGACGTTGAATTCGCACACACCTTGATTTAAAGGTATCTTTAGCCTAGCAATTCAAAAAGAAACACAAGCATGAAACACAGTGCAATGGTAGACAAGGAAATCAGCCAGTGCTCAAATTTTGACTTGGCTGCCCAAGAGTGTTCTAATTTAATATCATTTCAGCTCTACAAAGTACCAGAATCCCTTTGGCCATGTTAGGCTACAGGATTTTGGGATTTGTAGTGCCTCTGCTTCTGCGTGGCACTAGCTTGGGATAACTCACTCTTTAACAGGAAAAAGAAAATGGAAAAAGCAAGCAGAGGAAGATTTACAGATGGTGATTCAGAATCAGAATTTAAATGTAGCATTTCGGTATAAAGATACAGGTAGGCCTTGATTTACAACTGGTTGCTTAGCAACTGTTTTAAGTTCTGGTGGACTTACCCAATACTTGTGATCTGAATGCAAAATTTTGATGGTCAGCCCCCTACAGATGGTCATATGACTACATTTCAAGAACTCGGCTACTAGGCCACATTAATGGCCATTTCTGAACGTTTAGGACCATTCTGAGGTCACGATTGTGTTTTTGATGGTTGTTCTGAAAACCAGCATTTACGTCCGTTTTTTGGCAAAACCGGCCTGTAGGAAACCATGGGTTCACTTAATGACCACAGGGGTCACTTTACGACTATGGCATATGGTCATGTGACCAATTCACTTTACGATCACTGGGAAAGGAAACTGACGTATTTTATGGAAATGGCCTTTTATGCAAACATTATTATGGAAGCGAAAATGGATGTTTAAGCTCCCTTCTGCCTCAGATTGCAAACTGCCCCAAATCTCCTAACTTCTACTTTGCAGAACACGCCTCTCAACTGTTGATTGGCTGCAGGGTTCCAAGCTCCACCTTCTGCTGCCTGCCTAACCAATAGGAAAGGGATTGATGGTATAATAAGGTCTTGCCTTACCAACCTCATTAGAGTTGTTTGTGGCCTACTAAGCCCTTCCTGCAGGAAATCAATAGGGCTGTGGAATAAAATCGTGCTAACTGGTTTGAAATGGTGATTTTTGATAGAGCTAGCATGAGGGTGAGCTGTCCAAGGTGCTGGAGAATATACGACTTGAGTTAGGTGCTAACCCAGAGGTCTTCAAACTTGTCCACTTTTAAGACTTGTGGACTTCAACTCCCAGAATTCTCCAGCCAGCTTTGCTGACTGGAGAATTCTAGGAATTGAAGTCCACAAGTCTTAAAGTGGACAAGTTTGGGGACCCCTGAGCTAACCAGATTAAATACTGTATATTGTACCAATGGGAGCAAAGGGGATTGCAATCCATTTGCGATACACCTCCATTAAATTCATTTAATTTTTTTCTGAAAGCACTTCTTGTAAATGCCTGTATGGATTGGGGTCATCTGTAGGGGTTCCCCAAAAGCCATGACAGAGGCTGTGCACGTGCAAAGCCCCGCCTCTTTTTAGGTACATCCTGATGCACATAAAAATGAGGTCTTGCTTGAATCCCATTGGTTGCAGCTGCCATTTTGACAGTATTCAGCCCCATCTTGTGAATATGTAGCTTCAAACAAAAATACAATAGAAATCCGTTCACCACAAAGATGTTATAGCTCGGCGGCTGTCATAAATATAAATCTCATTTGGTGTTCAAAATCTGGATTTGAGGGTTTGATACTGACATAGGAATTTAAGGCAACAGGAACAAGATATATATTTAATTAATTTTTAAGTATTTATCATTTCCTTGAAAACTAATCCCCCACCCCAAATTTATTTAAGGATTATCATACCGCTTTGTGCTGATGCCTGCCTCTCCCCAACCCCCCCACCATCCTGGTTTATTTAAAAACAAGACAAAACAAAATCAGACCAACATTTTTACATTTTTCCTAAATTAATTTCCCCACTAAAATGATTTGTCAGGCATGTGCTTTGACTTTGTGAGAAGTATTCAGAAGTAGTGCATGTGATACTGTGATGATAGTGTGTACATAAAAGTAATTTTTCTTCATTTCGAGATGGTGAACTAACCTACACATTTTCCACAATCTAAGAGGGAACACGTGCAACCACACAGAATCTTTTAACAGTCTATTTAAGAAACTGCTACCACAGGGGCACAAAAAACCTGCTAAAACCAACATTTAAGAATAGAATTGGAAGTTATGGCCAAGTAGAATTGAAATCCAGAAAACACACATTTTCAGGCCGGGATTTATCATTTTTCTCTTTGTTTTGAAAGCCACAGCAGGTGGCAGCACCTGCCAGCTCTTCAAAAAGCCATGCAGATCAGACTTGGTGATCTCTTCCATGAGGAACAATCTGGAAATAAAAGCTGTAGACTAGAATGAAAAGTCAAGGAAGTAAAAATGAAGTGGGTGACAGCCAATGATTTCATATCATTGCAAAAGAAACAAAAAACAAGGGATATATACATGTAGTAATCAGGAACAGAGCACAACTAAAATAATGTTCACTTTTATGATTGAAACTGTCTTAATCAATTGTTCCTTCCATTTCATCTCAAAAGTATTGAATGCAATTTTAGGCAAATCAAGAGTGCATTTCTTTAAAAATGCGATCTGGGTTTACTGTTTTATTTTAATAACGTGTCTCTCCCTCAACATTAGGAAGATGCTAGATCTATGAAATTCTTTGAATTTAAATTCTAAAGGCCAATAACTGCGATTTTGAATGATAAACACTGAACATTATATTCCCACTAAACTGTCCTAGAAACACAACATTTGTTTCTAATTATATTTTCTCCCTGTATCTATTTTTCAATGTGCATATAGTGTCACATCCAGATTTGGTGATTTAATGTTGACTGTCGAGACATTTTCATTAACATTCCCCAAGTCCTCAAAAAAAAAATTCTTACCTCCACAATAGAAAACACATATATTTTTTTCCTCAGACATTCTCTTTTTTTTTTAAACTAAAAGCATGCTGGATCCACAAAAGCATTTGAAGTCAAAACTACCTGGTATATCTAGAAAACCCTTGCAGTCATCCATATTGGACAATCTCATCGCTCAGTTTGAGTTACAAAATGTAAAAATTTCAGACAGACACATTCAAATCATTCAGACATTTTAAAAGACACGCAGGTTTCCTAATACATAGTACGTTTCCCAATAAATAGTTATCAGTTTACAAAATTTGCGGCAAATACTTCTCTTTGAGTGCTAAGAGTTTAAGAAGGACCATGAAAATGAGTTCATGGCTAAACCTGAGGTGTCCTTTTGGGGTGGGGGGGGGAGTGGCTTCCAGATGAATATATGACGCTGTCTTTCGCCAAATCAGGCCACTGGTCCTTCTAGGCTAAGCATTTGTTGTTCTAGTTGGCAACGGTTCTTCTGGATCTTTGGCAAAATCCTTTTCCAGGTCTGCAAGTCCTGATATCCAAAACTGATGAGTCGGAGATGCCCAGAACTGAATCGGAGAGCTTCATCTTCAGTGAGCTACAAATGCTGGAAACAATCACTCCCATGGGATGGAAAACAAGATACCAAAACTCTTCAATGTAATAAGAAGAAACCAAACGCAATCCTTTTTTTTCTTTTTTTGCCCCTGTATACTACCGAACTTTCCATGGAACCAATGCCAAAACATTTTATTGTGCCGTCTTTGGCATTAAAAGCAAAAGACACAGAAAGCCACCAATTTAATTTATAAAATGCTAGGGATCCCCCCCCCCCTCCCTCTATTGCTCTGGATTCGTATAATTGGTATCAGCTATTTCAGGCTACGGGGAAGGCGCACTTTGCACCGGCTCCTTCATAGCCTTTTCATATCCTATGTTCTCCCCCCTCCACCCCGGGTGTACTGAAGAGAGAGCAGACCATATCCGCAAAGCATTGCTTCCGAGCGTCTGTGGCAAAGATTGAGTAAGAATTCAGGAAGAAGGAAGAAATTATGGCACCTTCCGTGAGGGTGGAAAGACGGACACCATCTGCAAAACAAGAACACATTAAATCGGTTCCTTGCTTGATCAGCTCCAGGGTTTAGGGGAATCTCTTGAAGATATCTCAGCTTTTATGAACTGTTGCACCTGCTATCAAGAGGGTCAGTGCAGCCAGCAGCCACTGCTGTGATGACTTGAGTTCCTGCTACGTTCTGGTTTGTTTATCTTTTCTCCGTGAACAAGTCAATTGCAATTCAGAGAACCAAACTGTGCTCATAGGACCTCTAAGGAGGCCCAAACGTGGGGTAGCTGCCTGACCATATTGACGCTCGACACCAGTCTTGCCAACGTATCTCGGTGTTTCTCAGCTGATTAAACCATTCTGACCTAGGAGAAAAACATCCCAGATGCCACCATTCCGGCTCCTGGCAAACAAAACTGGTAAAGATTGTGCTCAAAAGGGAAGCGGGAATTCAGGGGTCAGGTTCCATCATTCCGGCGGCCGATGCTTCCTGATCAGCAGGTGGATGGGCCCCTCTGGGACGGACTTGATGATGTTCCACGCATCGTAGTGCATGAGTCCGAGCAAGGATTTTCCTCCGATGGCAAGAATTTCATCACCCGCTTCCAGTTTTCCAGCTTGTTCAGCAGCACCACCTGTTGGCAGAAACATCAAAGTGCAGATTGGTAGAAAGACTGAAAAAAATAAAACACTATTTCTAGTGTTAAAACTATAGGGAGTCCTACAACAATTCATTTAGTGACCATTCAAAGTTACAACGGCAGTGAGGGGGGAAATGTGACTTATGAGCGTTTTTCACAGTTACAACGTTTGCAGCATCTGTATGATCATTTAGAATTCACATTGCTTAGCGATGGAGTTGCTAAGGGGGATTAAGTGAAAATTATCACTAGTTTCTAAGCTATAGAGAAGGTATAACAAAGGAAAAAATTGTTCATATCAAGTTCAACTAGTAGTAAGTTCACAAATACATTGTTCAAATTTTCTTGGTGGCCATAGGGAATTATTTTATCAATTCTTATTCTTCCATTCAGTTCTAAATGACTCAGCTGCAAAACAAGACTGACCCACCTTAACCCTTGCCAGGGTTAGTGTGTTGTCTGGATCAGGGGTGGGTTTCTCGCCTCGTTCCAACCGGTTCGGTTGGAACGGGGCTGGCGGCGTCCTTGTGCACGCGCGCGGTGTACGCATGCGTAC